ATAAATTAATACAATAATGTTTTTACCTCTTAAAACTATAAATACATATATATATATATAGGTATAAATGGTTATAGATTCAATGGAATGTCAAAATTAAAGTTATAAACATATAGAATATAAAGACATTTAAAAAATACCACATGTAATAAAGTCGATGTATGGTCATGGTTGCATTTATACTCCACTAATTATTATAATATCCAACAAATATATTTACATTAAAATAAAATAGTTGATTAAGAGATAATTTGTCTAATCAAACAGAAAAGCTTTCACTTTTTTAATTTTTCCCATTTTCAGCCATCATTTTTTTTTAAATACTTTATTAGATTTTTTCATTTTTCCATGTCAATAATAATTATAATTAAAATATATGAGACATTAAGATTTGGGTTTAACTATTATTATGTTAATCTTAAAATTATAACACATTATTAAATGAGATAATTTAATGACTAATTATAACTTAATCTTGGGTTCAACTTATGTGATAAATTTTGTAATATAATTAAAAATAAATATTAATTTGGACTGGTTAGATTTTGCTATTAAATTAATAATATTGTTTTGTAATAATATAAATTTTGTATATTTTTGAATTAGGGTTAGACCAAGACATTTATTTCTTTTACTTTTTTTTTTCAAAATTAATTTCATTGCCTTAATACGGATAAAATTTCTTTAATCATATAATAAAAAAATAATTTTATTGAAAGAGGATTTTACCAAAAATGCAATGTAAATTAGACTTTTATATTACTCAAAATAAATTATATTTTCGTTCGTAATAATAAATCATAAATTACGTTTTAGTATGAAATATATTTTTATTATTATAAAATTTATAAATAAAATAGTTAATCACGAATTTAATATTATTATTTTTTTACTGTGATGAGTTTTTTACGTGTTTATAAGAAAATAAATTTGTCAATTTTTTTGAATCTTAAAAGGGCTTATGAAAATATATAAAAATTCGTACATAAATATCATAAAATCGATAAAATAGAGTGATAATTAACTTTAAAAATTAATTCTTAAAATAAATTTGGCAAAATATAGTAAAAATTAATAATGAAGAAAAACAATGTGCTGCCCACAAAATCATTTTGTTTAGACATAAAACCCAATTAGATAATATAATCACCCCAATTAAAGAGAAATGAAGTAAATCAAGAAATTATAATCCTCTCTTAATTTCTTAATAATCTAGTTTTATATTTTTTTTTTAATAAACAAAGTAAATATAATCTTATCACATATTTGTATTAATATGAATATCTTTCAATTTAAAGTACTAATTAACTTTTAAAATAAAGTATAAATACATTGGATATATATTATTCAAAATCTAGAGTTATAATTATAAACCACTTTTACAAATCAAGATGACTTTGTCTGGTTTTGGCCGCAGAGTCATTGCACTTGCACTTGCACTTCGCATAGGAAAAAAAGTATTATAATAGTAACTTATATCTATATGTTGTATATTTTTGAAAAATATTAATTTTATTATATAAATTAGGAAAATAATATTCTCATAAATTAAAAAATAAAAATAAAAATCAAGTTACAAGATTGTTTCCAGTGATGAAATGTATTTGTCAAATTAAGTCGTAAAGGCTTAAGAGAATCAAAAGCACACGCGCTTTCTTAATGCTGAGGTAATCTTATATATATATATATGTATGTATGGACGATATTAGTGTAATTAATATTATGTCAGTATGAAATTTATTTTAAGTGAAATAAAAAATTGTAAAATTTTAATTTATTATTAATATAAATAATATAATCAGTATAAATGAGATATTATAACAAGTAAATATTAATTAATTAATAATTATAATTTATACTCTAAAAATTGAAATAGACAAATTAAATAATGGACACTTAAATTAAGACAAACAACATAAAAAATTTATTAAATATAATTAAAGTTTATTTATATATTACTAACAATAATAATGTGATGGTCAGGAATATCTAATAGATGGGCAATTTTTTCACATGATCGCACGCGCTTAACATGAGATTGGGAAAAGGTATTCTTATTTCGCCAAAATTAACAACATTAAAAATGCTTTTAATTTTTTTCGGGGGGTCAATATGTTAGTTTAACGAGAAATTAAATGCTAGACAAGCTGCGGAAACACAGGGAGGAATATGAAATGCGGCCGGAATGAAATTGAAATGCAGACGAAATGCAAATTCCAAATGAGAAAATGAAAATGAAATTTAAAAAAAAAAACAAAGGATTGTTAAATTCACGCGTCGTCCTTACTTGTCATGAAATCCGTGTCGTAGTCTCCCCTTCGTCGACCTTCTCTCACACAGTCACAGCGCCACTTTTCTAGAGCGAGAGATTGAGAGAATCCACTTCACCGAAATCATTTCAAACACTGTTCATGTCTTCGTCTTCAGAGTGACACAAAGCTTCGTCTGTCAAAGGTATGTAAACGTAGAAGCTTAATTTTTATTGACTGTGGTGGGGGGGGGGGGGGGGGGAGGGACCTGTAGGTGTTGCTTCGTTGATTACGGAAAAGAGTTTATCGGGTTTCTACAAGGGGTCCTTTATGTTTTAACTGATTTTATTTATGTGGATTAGAAGGATGGAGAGGAAAACATGTTCGTCTATTTTGTTTTCTGCATTGTGACTGGTTTTCTTTTTCGTGTCACGTTTTTTGTTTTTACTCGTTTTGTTTTGCAGATTAACTGGGTATGATTTAGTTGTTTGGTTTTTGGTTTGATCGGAATTGAACTCGGTTGAGCTTGAGAGTTAATCAGCTTTGTTATTTGTTTGTTATCGGTTTAATTTCAGGGTTTTAGAGGCATTATAGTTTTTGGGAAGAGAAGGAAATGGGAGATACTGAAGAGGGTAACATTGATATGATGCAGAAGATTCAGAACTCATTTGGTGCAGGATCATCTTCCATTGCTAAGCAAACCTTGTCAATGAATCATCAACTCGATATACCCCACTTCAACCCTAATCAAATCCGCCCTAGACATTTCCCGCAATATTCCCAAGCTCTGAACAGTGGGGAAAGTAGTAAAAGAGTCGGGATACCACCTTCGCATCCCAGCCAGATCCCGCCCATTTCGCCGTATTCTCAGATCCCGGTGTCCCGCCCTGCAAACCCTCAAGTGGGTTCACAGAATTTGAGCCCGGGACCCTCTCACTCGCGATCTTTATCACAGCCCTCATCGTTTTTCTCGCTTGACTCCTTACCTCCTCTGAGTCCATCTCCCTTCCGTGACCCCCATTCAGCCACTATACCAGACCATGTTTCTACTGATGTGTCCATGGAGGACAGGGATGCTGGAGGTTCACATTCTTTGTTGCCTCCGTCACCTTTCGCACGGAGTAATTCACCTAGGGTTGGTGAGGCTTTACCTCCCCGGAAGGCCCATAGGAGGTCTAATAGTGATATTCCCTTTGGGTTTAGGTCAGTGATGCATTCATCACCACCCCTTATTCCTTTAAGAGGTTCAGTTGGCTTGGAGAGGTCCATGCCAGGGAGGGAAAATTCTGGAGTGGCCAAGCCAGCTCAGTTGGTTAAAAGAGAATCGAGCTGGGAACGAGGCAGCGACAGCACTGCAGAAGGGATGGGTGAGAGAAAATCTGAAGGAGAAGTTGTTGATGATTTATTTTCTGCTTATATGAATTTGGATAACATTGATGTTTTGAATTCTTCTGGGACTGATGATAAGGGAAATGAGAATCGTGAAGATTTGGATAGTAGAGCTAGTGGGACCAAAACCAATGGAGGTGACAGCAGCGATAATGAAGCTGAAAGTAGTGTAAATGAAAATGGCAACAGCTTGCAGGGGCAGGGAGCGGGAATGAGTTTGTCAACTGAGAAACGTGAAGGGGTTAAGAGGAGTGCTGGGGGTGATATTGCTCCGACTACTAGACACTACAGGAGTATGTCCATGGACAGTTTCATGGGCAAGTTGAACTTCGGTGATGAGTCACCAAAACTCCCACCCTCACCTGGAACTCGTCCAGGGCAACTGTCACCAACTAATTCCATTGATGGTAACTCAAATGCTTTCAGTTTGGAATTTGGAAATGGGGAGTTCAGTGGGGCCGAGCTGAAGAAAATTATGGCAAATGAGAAACTTGCCGAGATTGCTCTAACTGATCCAAAGCGAGCAAAAAGGTAATTTATTGAATTCATTCATTGATTAATCTTGGATCCTATTAGTAAATGAAAAATCTAAAATTCATTTATTGACGAATTTCAAGCCTTATTAGTAACTGAAAAACCTACCTTATACATTTTTACTTGTGTATTTGGTTTTGATTATAGGATTTTGGCAAATCGTCAGTCAGCTGCTCGCTCTAAAGAGCGGAAGATGCGTTACATTTCGGAGTTGGAACATAAGGTGCAGACTCTTCAGACAGAAGCTACCACATTGTCTGCACAGCTCACACTCTTACAGGTGAGAATCCGGAGTGCTTAAAGTCTGTCCTTGACACCTCTGGTCTTCTGTTTCTTATGTGTGTTTTTCTTCTTTATATTATTCCCAGAGGGACTCTGTTGGACTCACAAACCAGAACAATGAGCTGAAGTTTCGTCTTCAAGCCATGGAGCAACAAGCACAACTTCGGGATGGTATAATCTTAATATTCTGCCTCTTAAAATAATTTTGTTGCATTTAATTTTTTTTTTCTGTTGCATGAACAAGTTTATAACTTTTCATGGATATATATGTGGAAAACACTTCTGGTTTTCATTGCATGAATCTGGTGGGAGCTTGCTTCTGCAATTTCAAATTCATGTAACATTTTTCTTCTAATCTCCTCGAAACTACACTTATCTTTACCATTGTGCAATGTAAAACTTATTCTGACTTCTTTCTTCATGGTTGGTAAAAATAAGAAAATTTTTCTCAATGTCTTGGGTGTCTTGTAAAATCACATGTCAATAGTGAATTGGAGTATATTTCTTGTCTAACAACATCAAGTGGACCATATCGATACCTTGAGTGATTGTCTTGTTGTTGTCCTTACATAGGTCGGCTTTCATGGCAGATGTTTTTGTAGATTGATAACTTGGTATTTGATTGGTTTTTTCAGTCTTCCTGCTGTTAGGTTATTGAGGGTCCAAGATAGATGAGTTAATAACATCTCTTAAGCCTTATCCTGCATCTTGTATACCCAAAAAAAATATTTTACTTGAACCAAGAGTTCTATAGCAAGTATTTTTAAGATTAGAAGAACTAAATTATATTTGGTTTTCGTTCATTTGCTAGAACTGTTTACGGGATTCTGAGAAGATACTTGTATTACTTTTTTATTGGTATCATATTGCCAATTTTGTACTTTCTCTTATTCGCGGTGGTTTTCTGTTCAATTATTGCGCTTGATTAAGCATATGTTTCTGTTCTACTTCTAGATCTTAAATATTTGACATGTAGGATTTAGCTATGATCTACATACTTAATATATAGTTAAACAAATTCCACTCATATTTTCCATTCCAGAACAGATCGATTTGCATTGACAGACTTTACTTGTCAATAGGAAAATCACAAAACATCTGATTGGGATTGAAAATGGAATTTAGATATTACTTTCCTTATAACAATCTTTATATTTCTATTTAATCTCCTTCCCATTTCATATGATTAAAATTCGAACCAAATCCAAAATTGCTAATAGCTAGTTGCTATTTATTTTTTTAGTTTTCCTAAATATAGCATTTGGAAGTCCATATGCCGCATTTTGTACATTGTTTTATTCATCTCCACATTTTCTCATAAAATAGAAAAAATGAATGTTTGTCATTTCGAAATCTGACAGCTCTGAATGATGCTTTAACGGCTGAGGTTCGGCGACTTAAGCTGGCTACAGAACTGAGTGGTGATTCTGATCAATCAAAGGCCATGCTGATCAATGCCCAGCTTTTTCAGATGCAACAGCAGCAGGCTGCCCAGCTCAACATTCATCAGCTGCAGCCACCACCACAGGCCCAGCAGCCACCACCACCACCACAGCAGCAGCAGACACCACCACCACAGCAGCAGAATGGGAGCAACACTCCAAAACCCGAGTCAAACCCTTAGATTATGAAAGTTGGAGAAAGACCACCAATCGTCTTTCTTAGTTATCACTGCATGATATTTGATGAAAGCTCGTTTTGATGCATTCATTCATTAGTTCCATCATTAGTGTCGGATTAGCAATACCCACAGATTCAGTGTGTATTGCGAATCCATTAGTTTCCCATCATTAGTGTCGGATTAGCAATAACCACAGATTCAGTTTGTATTTGCTAATCCATGTCCAGTTGTCATTTTAAGTCGCAGAGTCATATACAGGCCTTAATAGTTATATATGGGTTATAACTATAGATTTTTATTATCAAAATTTATTTATTCCTGGTAGATAAAAGAATTATATTTGGGTGTAAACCTTTTTTCATAAGATGGTCATCTCTTCTATCAGTCAAACTTTAGAAGAGTTGAAATGAACTCTTCATGTTTCGTTCAGTGAAGAATGGTATTTTGTTATTATACTTGTTTTTGTTGGTTTATTTCTCTGAGTTTTATGTTACATCTGTTATCATCACTTCATACTTCAAGCACGGGAGGAGTGAAGTACACACCCACGGCCACAGCCACGGCCACGGCCACAGCCACGGTTGATTGTTTCGGTATTAGTCCATTGAAATGTTGAGTTTGAGCTCGACTATGTTTTATTATTTCTGTTAGTGGTTTTATTTTGTCTTGTTGGGTAGGTAGTATTTACATATTATCTAATTGATAAATGCAATGCATGTATTTTTTTATTAAAAAAGTTATTTTTTTAACGTTATAATTTTTTATTATTTAAATGATCTTAAAATACCAAATATTACCTCATCAAATGAGTCCTTATTTGAAAAAAAATAAATACCAAAGAAGATTGTGTTAGAAATAAATGAGGGAACTTTGGTTGTAAAAGTTTTATTTAAGGGAATTAGGGGGGTCTTAAGTCGTCAGACTGAAGGTTTTTACCACCTTTGTTTTGGACAATTAAAAACGTTGCCGTTTTTGCTGCTCCCATCCCATGCAGATATTTCTAAATCCTCATATATTACAGCCTTTTGATTTCGATCCCATTTTCTACGCTTTGGGCTTTTGGCCCATACCATACGCTGAAACCACCTTCAGCTGCATGTTCAACGACGGTTTTATTCTACTTTAAAACAAAACCCTATTTCCATTTCCCTCTTCCCCTATCAGAACCCGAAATAATCGAACCCGCTCTCGCTGTTGTTACACTCAGTAGTCGAGTTCACTGCTGAGTTTATCAGCCGAGATGGAAGATTCTGCGGCCGAGGTCGCCGATCTTCCGCTGGTCGAAGGAGACAATCCGCCGTCAGCACTAACGATGGAAAAAGACTCAAATGGTTTCGGTCAGGCGACACCAGAAGAGCTCGTTTCTCGAGCTATAGCTCCGGTGAAGAGAGAGTTTCTGCGTCCTCCACCCTCCAGGACAACCGAGCAGCAGAACGACGCTATTCAGGAGGCTCAGGCGAAGCCTTCTCAGCCCGGTTTGCTCAAGGAGAAAAAATCTAAACGCCAACTCAAACGAGAGCGCCGTGAGGTTCATTTTCTCTCTAGCTAAACCTCATTATGTACATACTGCAGTTTATGTTATGTGTGAAAATCTTCTATAATTACTGTTGTTAATTCTTTCACGGACTGGATCTTCAACTTATTTTAATACTAATAATTTCATAGTTTTAAGGGAATTCGAGCAAAGAAAGCCCAATCACTGATTAGGTTTACCAACAAATTGAGTAGTAATTTTACATTCTCTTTGTAGTAGTAAATGATAGGATTTTAATGTATCTTATTATTGAGGTTGAGATAATCATGTTTGTTTCTACTTTTAATAATAACAAATGATATTTTACTGTTAAATTTAGAATGAATTTTAAAATTATAAAAAAGGTGGTACTTAGTTTTTTTTTTTTTTTTATATTCCCATATAATATATTTAATTATATTTTTATAATTTATTATTTATTTTATTAAATATAAAAATTTAATTTATAATAATTATTTATTTAAATATAAATATGATTATATTAGTAAATAATTTAATTTTTTTTATTATATATTTCTTATATAATATTTATTATTAAATAAATAAGTAGGGATAAATTAGTAATTTGACTGAAAATACAATCATAACATTTTATTATCCAAACAAAAATATGTCATTAACATACATTAATATATAATCATTCAAATATAAAAAAAATTTGTCATCCCCATCTTATGTCATTGCCATCTAATTACTGTTATTATTATACATTAATTAACCATCACTAAAATTTATCCGAATAGGATGTTAAATGGAACAAGCTCAGTAGAATTTTGTGAAATAATTAACTGATAGAAATGATGACTGTTCTTGAACTTTCAGGAAAAAAAATCTGCCATGAACCTCTGTCCGGAAGTTGCTAAGACTGGAGATACGAGTGCATGCCCTTATAAAGATAAGTGCCGTTTTAGCCATGACTTGGAAGCTTTTAATGCTCAGGTATTTGATTGGGCATTTTATTTGACAGAACCATGACTAATTAGACTCAGTTTTTCTTTCTTTGTTCTGTATATGCATCTTTCAAATAGCAGTTTTCTCCTGACTGCAGAAACCAGTTGATCTAGAGGGAGAATGTCCTTTTATGAGCCCTGGAGCTTCATGCCCTTATGGTGTGACCTGCAGATTTGCGGGCACACATAAGGATGGTGGTCAAGTTGGATTCTCAACTTTAGGAAAGAGAAGTTCTGAGATCAATATTCTGAACAAAGATTTTCAGAAGCTTCTGTGGAAAAACAAAGTGCGGTTCCCCAAGGCAGATGCCAAACTAAAATCTTTTGGGCTTCAGGTATGCCTTGCAAAATCCATTTATTCTTATCTTCATATTTTGCCATAGTTTATTGTGATTCGTCATAGGCCCTTATCATAATTATGTAGGGTAAAGCCTATTCCAAGAAAATGTTGGAAGATAAGAAGGAAGCAAATCAAATTATGTCAAATGGATCTTTGGGTGATGATGAAAATGATTGCACTAGAGTTAGTAACTCCACAGCTGAAACCAGAAGTGCTCTGGAAGCTCCATCAGGGGTTAATCCTAATGAGACATGTGCAACTGATGAACCACCCCTGAAAAAAGCAAAATCTAATGATGGTTGGTCAAGCTTCTGTTCTTTTGGATGACATCCATTAATAATTTGCTTGGCATCAGAGATTTTTGTTGCTTAATTTTAATCTATCTCAACAGATGTGGATGTCTTGAAGAAAGATAATGCACGAGCTGAGCAAGAGGGTGTTGAAGATATTATAGTCACAGATAGTGATGAGAGCCTAAAACTACACCCTCGGGAAAAGAAGCTAATTGATTTTAGAGAAAAGCTGTATCTTGCGCCCCTGACGACTGTAGGGAATCTACCTTTTCGGAGGCTTTGCAAAGCCTTAGGAGCAGATATAACATGTGGTGAAATGGCCATGTGTTCAAATCTTTTGCAGGTTTGCCTTTGTCCATTGCTCTGGTTAATTATGAATATAATTGTTCATCAGTATTATGTTACTGTTGTAGTTTACCGTTAGTAATTGATGATGGAACAGCAAACAAGGTTGTTTTAATACAAAATACTGCTTCTACCATGCAAGGATTCTCTTTGGAATATGTGAGAGTTTTAGGTCTTATTTTTTCTGGCCAACAACTATGGTTGTTTAAAATATGGAATATGCAGCCCCTTTCTAAGAAGTTATTCCTTATATACCCAAGTGTTTCTTTCTCTTTGAATAACTCTCTACTCCGAAGGGTGACTGTGCTAGGCTCTTGCCTCGCGGTGGGTGACAAGTATCTGGGTGACAAGTATCTAGGGACCTAAGCCCCCCTACCCCACCGGTCCTGAGTGGTGCCAGGCCTCCGGTCCAGCCACTGCAGCAATGGTTTTCCAGCAGGCTGTGGCCAGAGTGCATGGGTGCGATGTACTTGTTGGGTGCGATTCACTGGCAATCATTTTTATTTTATTTTATAAAACTCTTAAGGGTGGCTGTGACACAAAGCTTAACATATTCTGTGCTAACATGGTATTATAATATTTTGCCCGGCATCTTGTTTGATTTTTATTGGTGAAATTAGATTAGATTTGTTGGAAAAGAGATGATATATTAATAATCATATAAATCTAAGTCATTAAATGATATTATGTTTCCTTCTCTCATCAATGCTTTCTGAGGATTTATATTCCCTTATTCAAACTATCATCCTCGTAGTGTTTTATTCTGTATATATGATGTTGATGTCAATTTTTCTTTTGCATGTGCTATTTTGCTTTTGGAAAAGGGTCAAGCTTCAGAGTGGGCTCTGTTGAGACGGCATTCTTCTGAGGAATTTGTTTGGTGTCCAGATTTGTGGGGCATACCCAGACACTATTGCACGCACTATCGAGCTTATAGATCAGGAATGCAGAGTGGATTTTATTGATATTAATATGGGATGCCCTATCGATATAGTTGTTAACAAAGGTGCTGGATCATGTCTTCTCACAAAACCGATGCGGATGAAAAGCATTATTGAAGTAGCGTCGGGTATCGTGGAGACGCCTATAACTGTCAAGGTCAGCAATAACGTATAATAGATCTTTGCTTTGTGCAAATGCAACTGAAATTAGTTTTTCTAGTTTTAGGTTAGCAAGCTTTAGCTAGAAAACAAAATATTTGTTTTTGTTGATTCTTTTGGTTTTAATTTTATTTTATTTGCCTTTCTTCTGGCACTAGGTCCGAACAGGTTATTTTGAGGGGAAAAACCGCATTGATTCATTAATTTCAGATATTGGCTCCTGGGGTGCCACTGCAGTGACAATACACGGTCGATCACGGCAGCAACGCTATAGCAAGCTTGCTGATTGGGATTACATATATCAGTGTGCTGGAAAGGCTTCTGATGCTCTGCAAGTCCTGGGTAATGGAGATGTTTTTTCATATGTAGACTGGAACAAGCATAAGGCAGATTGCCCTGAGCTCTCTACTTGCATGATTGCTCGAGGAGCCTTAATTAAGGTATGTGTTGAAATTTCGCAATTTCCATGGTCATGTCTTCTTATTACTTGATGTTTCTCGCATGCTTTAGTCATTATTATTTCTTTTGAATTTAACTTAATTCTTTGAATAATGTCCTGTCTTATTATAAGTGAATAACAATAGCTTTTCTGTTTTGCAGCCTTGGATATTTACTGAATTAAAGGAACAGAGGCATTGGGACATCACTTCAGGGGAGCGGTTAAATATTTTGAAGGATTTTGCACGATTTGGCCTTGAACACTGGGGCTCAGACATGAAAGGTATCCAATATTGTCTATGCTATCTGTGAAATTTATAATCGTGCATAGTTGATGTGACCCTCTAGGTATGCAGAATGCTAAACTACCAAGACACGTCAGTGCTTTCCAGTTCTAATTTTTATACGGGTAGAAGACTTATAATTATAGAACAACTTTTTGTGTGTGAGTTATACCTCTACCATCAGTGTGGACTTTTTTAACAGTGGGAATTCTATTCCTACCTTTCAAGGTAGGAGTTGAATTCTTACTATTAAAGGAGGAGTTGAGTTGAATTCTTACTATTAAAGAAGGGGGAGTTATGGTAATCGTATTCTGATTATGCATGAGGATCGATGAATATATTTTGGAATTGATGAAAATTCAATGGGAACAGAACCAACCACAACAATTAAGAGTATCTAGAAAAGAGGGAAGATATAGAGAGAACAGAATTTGAGAGACAGGCCTTTGTCCAACTTATTTTGGGTTGTCAACAAGCTAATATTGTCAATACAATGAAATGGAAGCAATGGAAAAATAGTTTTGCATTCTACGCCTCAAGATCTCTATCCAAAGACTTTCTAATGTCTCTGCTGTTCAAAGATGTGCTAAATCATGACCATTGGATCTTGATGCCCATGTTTCCTTACAGGAGTAGAGACAACAAGACATTTCTTGCTTGAATGGCTTAGCTACACGTGTAGGTATGTGCCTGTAGGTCTTCTAGATATCATTCCACAACGTTTGAACTGGCGTCCACCCTCTTATTATGGTCGTGATGACCTGGAGACGCTGATGGCTTCTGACTCTGCAGCTGACTGGGTATGCTGTTTACATTTGCTCAACATTGCTATGAGGTGCAACGCGGTTATATACCTGTTAATTCTTTCTGTGCAGATTAGGATATCAGAGATGTTGCTTGGCAAGGTTCCTGCTGGCTTCACTTTTGCTCCAAAGCATAAATCTAATGCTTATGAGCGGCCAGAAAATGGCTGAGTTCTTCTTTATTTATTTTCCATTGAAGAGGGGAACTGTTTGCTTGTCTGCTAAGCTGTAGGTTTAGGTACCAGATGTCATTGGTAAATCAAGCATTTCAACCTTTCTCTGTAAAGAGTTGATGCCTGAAACTCATGATGGCATATTGCCTTTCCACATCCACACTGCAGGATTCTTATGCTTGTTTCTTCTAGGTACTACCAACTTAATTTATATAGGGAAACCACGCCTTATTTGTGATCAGAAGATTTTTATCTCAGATTGCGGGGGGAAAAGAAAAAAAGAAAATGAATGTTTACTTTTAAACACTCTCAATATGCTTAGGAAACAATGAGATATTACAGGAAAGCTGAGTTCACAGAATTTAACTGTGTAAGTCAGTCTTTTGGTAATTTTTCAAGTCATTTTAAGGAGGTTTTTTAATTTTACTTTGTAATAATGTCAAGCTTTTTATAATACTATGCTTCGTACTTGCTCTGTTGCTTATGTTTGGAACATAGAGTTAATATAGAAATTTACATTTATTTGAGGTAGAAGGGAGGTAATAATATCTTGCAAAATGACAAAAAATATTCTGACTGACTTGGAATTGTAAAATATTGAAAGCGGTGGAAGAAAAACTAGATTTGTCATTCCTTGTAGTTTCAAACGGTTTGTGCAAGAAGATATGTATCTGTATATAGGGCAAATATCTAATGTCCATCTTACTTTGAGTAACTATTTTAATTTAATTACTTAAAAATATTTTTTTTTGGGTCTAAAAATATAATAGACTAATTTAGATATATTTTGATTTGATTATTTTGAGTTCCTGCTTTATTTTTTTATTGCTTTACGCAACAAAACTCTATTCTTTGTTGTCCTGTAATAAATTAGGATGGGCAGTTCTGATAATGGCAATGTTCACACAATTGAGTTCTTTCTGTAAGTTCCTCTGTAACTCTTTCATTTCTTTGCCATTTTGAAATAAACTACTTCTGTTGTCATTATTTTAAAATATGTTTTTGTAATATCCAAACTACCCGTAACACATAAATAATATATATATATATATATACACGCAATCTATAGTTCTTTTGTTGGCAAAATTACATTAAAAATATAGTTGGATGGCGACAGCCTGACAGGTTTAGCAGAGGATATGTTCCTCCAACTCCTAAAGTTCAACAGAAAAATCTTAAGCTGCGTTCTTCCTACGAGGAATTTGCATATGGGAATATGTCTTCGGGATCAAATTTTAGTAAATATGATTGAAGTACTGACAAATAGGCTCGACGCTATATTTTCCTCCACCAGTTATATCGTGTCAAACTAGGTTTAGACAGATTTTAACTAACTTTTATACCTGCCGTAATACATAAATATTATTATAATTTATACACAAGCCTGCACACTCTTTCTCGCCTGCTAGTTACTTGCCTAATACTATTCTCTAGGCCTGAGTACTGAACTGAATAGAGGTCGTTCATCGCATCACCAACTCTTGTTGTCCAGCAATGGAGAATCTGTAGGTAGATTTGAAAATCCATCCAAGAACCACTACCAGCGTAAAAACAGAGAAGAATTTGGGACCAAGAGCGTCTTATCCCTCATAAGATGATGAACATGAGAGTTTTTTTTTTTTTTATTATTATTAGAAAAGTCACTCAAGCCTGAAAAAACCTCTAACACCACTTATCAGACCTTCAAGCAACAAGGATTCTCACTAATCAATTAATCAATAAACTCTTGAAGTGTTGCAGAATTGAACACACACACACACACACACACACACAAACACCATATTTTCCCTGTATAAACATCCATGCTAAGAAAAAAGAATCATAGGTATATATATATACACCGAATTGTACTTGGGTCTCTCTCTATCGTTCCAGGAAATCTATGGCATTGATATAATAAATATTAAACCAAAAGTTTTTCAAAATTGAAACAAAAGAATAAAGACTGAACAAAATTGGATAACCCTTAACATTCTCAATTCTGCACCATTTGATCCAGAAACCAGTATGATTATCTCCACCACATCATTCTACTATCGAACCCATCCTCCATCGATGTTCTCGATCCCTCCAGTGAGTCATTCTGCTATCGAACCCATCCTCCATCGATGTTCTCAATCCCTCCAGTGAGTCCATCATCGATAAAATCACCACCCCGTTTGACTTTCAGCTCGGTAGGTTTAACAGGATAGTTCCCAGAGAAGCAAGCATAGCAATAGCTAGGCGAATCGTGACCCAACATATTCTTCAAGCTATCAAATGGCAAGAATGCCAGAGAATCACACCCAATAAAATCTCTAACCTCCTCAACAGTCATCCTATTTGAAATCAATTCCTCAGAACTTGGAGTATCAACTCCATAATAACATGAAGCTATCATTGGAGGACTTGCAATTCTCATATGAACTTCTTTAGCACCAGCCTCTTTCAGTAACCTAACAATTTTAGAAGATGTGGTACCTCTCACAATGGAATCATCCACAACAACAACTCTCTTCCCTTCCAAAACGCCACGAACTGGCGAAAGCTTGAGCTTTACACCAAAGTCCCTAATTTTCTGGGAGGGCTCAATGAAGGTCCTACCCACATAGTGCGATCTAATAAGGCCTTGTTGGAAGGCCACGCCGGCCTTCGATGCATACCCAAGTGCCGCAACGACGCCAGAATCCGGTACGGCGATGACAACATCACAATCAACAGGTGCCTCTGTGGCGAGAATTTCGCCGAAGGCACGGCGGGATTCATAAACAGACCTACCAAAGACAATGGAATTTGGAAGAGAAAAGTAAATGTGTTCGAAAATACATTGCTTTGGCTCAGGATGAGGCATGAGACACTGTGATTTTACCCCTTCTTTGTCCACCACTAGAACCTCGCCTGGATAGACTTCTCGTTCATATGTTGCTTCGATTAAATCGAGCGCGCAAGTTTCAGAAGCGAAGACCACGGAGCCGTTACTACGCCGACCCATAACTAGTGGGCGGAAACCAAATGGGTCGCGCACGGCGACCAGTTTGTCCTCTGTGACGAACACCATTGAATAAGCACCTTGAAGCTTTTCACACGCGTCGATGATTCTCATAAAGAAAGGTCTGGCTTTTGATATCGCAATCAAATGAAGAACAACTTCTGTGTCGGAGCTGGTGTTGAAGATTGACCCGTTTTCTTCAAGTTTAGCCCTCAAAGACTTGTAATTTACCAGATTCCCGTTGTGCGCGACGCCGACGGAGCCGAACCGGTAGCCGGCGACGAATGGCTGCACGTTTTTCAACATGGAGGAACCAGCCGTCGAGTAGCGAACATGGCCGATAGCCATGTCGCCTGGTAATTGATCGAGCTTGGACTCGCTAAACACATCAGAGACTAATCCAACACCTGTAATCGATTGAAGTACCTTGTTACTCACCGCGACAATACCTGCACCTTCCTGTCCGCGATGCTGCAGAGCGTGCAGGGCTAAGTAACAAAGGCGTGAAGCTTCTGGGTCGCCGTAGATTCCCACAACGCCGCACTCTTCCCGAGGCTTATCGTCATCATCGTCATTAAAACAGTCATCTGGGTTGTTTTTGTTTGTGGAATAAAACTCAGTGATGGGATTTTGGGAGGAGACGGCGAGAGAGATTTTCTGGGTCGGCGAAGCGGATGGCGGTGAGAGGGAGGTTAGCTTGTGAGAAAAATAGAAGGGTTTATGAAGGGTTTCGGGGAAAGTGATTTTCTGGGGTTTGTACTTAGGGTTAACCGAGAGGGAAGAGGAAGAGAGAGGACATATGTTAGTTGTGGTCGCCATGGATGTCCTGCTCTCTGAAAGTTTTGTTTCTTTTGCGAGGAGAAC